ATAAATTGATTTTGAATTGAAGTTAATGATTAGAGAAGGAGAAATAGCTATTAGAACATTTACATCAACTTTCAAGTTAGCAACTAAGTGACATTAGTAAAGTTTTTGGACTTATTCTCACAATCTATAAGTTGAATTGGATTGATTTTTTTTTTTAAGCATGTAGAAGACTTATAATGAAATTTTTGTGTAAAAGTTTGCACTAAGCAAGTGGTCAAATTAAGACTTACAACTTGCCAAAGTTCACTCATTAGGATTAGGACTTACAAAGACAAATCAAAATTACCTAATTGTAAAAGTAATAAGATAATTAGAGTTTATGTATGATTTAAGTTTTTAAGAAGAGTGTTTTTGAGTACTTTGTATTGGCTTTAAGCACTTTTGAATTAAAATTCGAATTACATTCTTCTTATAAGGATGAAACCTATTAGGATTTTTTAGATAATTATAAATGACAACTTCACCTTGAATATCCAAGTACCTCATGCATTTTCAAATAAGACAATACATATTATGACAATGTATAGAATCAATAGAAGTAGTATATAAATAATCATCAATAATAAAGGACCTTCCATGAGGGTGACTAGGTATTACTCTCCAGTACCAACTTTCTACTTGCTACATCAATCCAAATGCGTAAGCTAGTACCTCGATGGCTTGGACCTTTCTGTATTTCTGTAATGATTTTTCATATTGCATATTGTCTCAAGATTCTACCACATATTTGGATATATTCAATCTTTCATATTTTATAACTCAAGAAATTTCATACTAAACCAAAGCACTTCTTCGACCGACACCAACCACTACCACCACCAATTGTGATTAATGACCAACAAGAGTATAAATTGGATAATATTTTGAAGCATTGCTACCTTTGTTAAGGCAATGGATGTCTGCAACTTTAATATAAGGTCCTTTAGAAAGACTATTTCATCTACAATGCAATATGAAAACTTATACAAGACCTCATTTATTATCAAGAAACAATCTAGAAGTACTATCGAGAGCAAAATAAGGATGTTTTTCATTAGTGGAAGGGGATTAATTCTAACAAGGCATGGATAAGATAATTATAATATTGATGTATAGAAATAGGTAATTAGGGCTATTTTTGAGAAGTCTCTAGAAAATTTTAGAATTGAAGTCAAGTTGGTGGTTCATATGGAATCCACCATAGAACATCTTAAAAGAATTAAAGTTGGTTATACAAGTAGAATCCACCTCTAAAGTCTTTTAAGAGGGCAATTATTAAGATAGAATCCACCTCTAAAATCTTCTAAAAAGATAGTTATTTTGATAGAATCTACCATTAAAAATATTCTAAAAAGCTCAAAATTCTTGGACAAAGTATAAATAAGACTGATCAGTCAGGTATAGCTTTGGTCATTTTTTCTTAGTAAAATTTGATATATATATATATATATATATATATATATATATATATTCTATTCTATTTCTATTTGTTGTATTTTATCATTTATATTCTATTTTATTGAGTTTTGTTCAGTTTTATTCTTGTCCATTTTGTCTTATTTTGTGATGGAATTTATATTATTATAGATTAGAAGGATTTTAGATCTTTAAGAAAATTTAGTCTTATTTCACAAAGAATATATCAATAAGTTGGTACTAAGCCTTTAGGAATTATTTTAGTCCATATAAAGATTTCTTCAACTTAAAAATATGGTTTTATTTGCCTTCTTCAATAAATTTTTGAAATAGATCCATGTAGATGTCTTCTTTCAACTTTTTATTTAAAAATACCATCTTCACCTCTATTTGATGCATTTCAAAGTCCATTATTGCTCCAATTGCCACAATAATTCTAATAGTAGTGAATTTGGCTATAAAAACAAATATTCTATTGAAATCAATATTAAAAACTTTTGAATAGCCTTTGGTAATTAATCTTGCCTTATATCTCATAATATTGCCTATTGTATCTCTTTTGGTTCTAAACACCCATTTACAACTAATAAAAGATTGATTTAGTAGAAGTTGAATCAATTTTCATATTCCATTATCCATAAGTGATTTGTACTCTTCTTCTATAGCCTTCTCTTACTTCATAGTATCCGTGGACTTCATTACATCACACAAATTCAATAAACTAGCAAGAATTGCTACTTTGGCATATTTTTCACTTACTTGAGGAAAGATATGGTTCTTTTATCATTCACCTTCTGGTCTTCTTTCTTTCAAAGAATATCTCTTTACATTTGAAGAAGATTCATCTTTTTACATTCCATACTCTCTTCTTAGTTTCTTCTACTTTAAAGCTTGTCTTTTTTCATTCAAAGGTTGGTATTCTTCATTATCGTCATCATCATCATAATCTTCAATATCTTTAATATTGGTCCTAGAAATTGTAGAGGCCTTTTCTTTTATCTTCATTACCTTTTTACCTTCATTCACACTTCGACCATCTTCTTTGTCATCATCTTTATCTTCTTTTTTTGCTGAAATTAAAGATTTATCTATAAATATACCACTACTTCCACTTGAATATATCTCACAGGTATTTTTATACTCTAAAAATTCTACATCACGACTTTTGATGATATTTTTGGATTTAAAATACATAAGCCTATATACCTTGGTATCTTTACAATATCTAACAAATATACATTTTATATCTTTTACATCAAGTTTGAATCTCATAAAATTTGATATCTTTACATGAATGATGAATCAAAAAGTCTTTATGTATAAAACACAAGGTTTCTTGTCATTCTATACTTCTTCTGAAGTCATTGATGTGAGTGCACTTGTAGGGTACCTATTCCTTATATATATCACATTTACTATGAATTTTATCCAAAATTCATATTTAAGGCATTGTGCATGTAGCATATTTTTTGCTATCTTTATAATGGTTCAATTTACTCTTTTAGCAACTCCATTTTTTTGTAGAATGTAAGGAATAGGTGTTTGTCTTACAATACATTGAATCTTTAAGAAGTCATCAAAATACTTTGATAAATATTCACCTCCATTGTTTATGTATAACAACTTAAACTTGTACCTACATTATTTTTTCACAAATGCCTTAAATTCCTTAAACCTTAAAAATACTCTGACTTGGATATGACAATGAAAATCTACATCTTCTTTCAAAAACCATCAACAAATGTGACAAAATATCTTATTTTTTTAATTGATGGTGTCTTCATTGGTCCACAAACATCCAAATATATAATCTCTAATAACTTCCTTGCATATATTACAAATTCCTTTGGAAATGAGGCCCTTTGTTGTTTGTCTTAGATACAACCTTTACAAGCGAGTATCATAGTATTGTGGCTAAATTAATCAAGATTCAAGCCACTTACCATGGATTAGAGTTTCTTTATGCTCTTGGCATTCAAATGATTAAAGCATCTATGTCAAATGCCAAATTTATCTTGATCATGTGAAAACTCAGCAAACGTGGCTACTTTAATTCTATTCAATTTCTTACACTTGGTAAAGTAGAGATTGCCATTTCTAAAACCTTTGGCAATATTTTTTTATCCAATATTTGTAGAAAGCATCCATTCTTATCAACTTATACCTTACAACCATATGAAACTAGTTTACTCTCTAAAAAAGAGGCTTATCTTGATCTTTGATACATATAAGATGTTCCTCAATTTGATCTTCTTTGCTTATACTTTCACAACAATCTCCACTATAATAGAGTCCATTCTAATAGCTTGTACCATGCCATTGTCTCTTATAAAAATATTTATTGTTGAAATTTCTTCATAAGTATCAAATAAACATTTGCTTGGAGTCATGTATTTGGTGGCATCTAAATCAACAATCCACTTAGATATAGCAGCCATAGAAGTACTTTAACTTGCCATAAATATAAAATTATGTCTTTTAAATTACTCATGTATATTATTGGTACTTTTTTATCTTTTTTTTTTTTTTTTTTTTTTTTTTTTTTTTATCTTGTAGCAGTTTTGTGCAAAGTGACGTGATTTTTGACAAATGAAGTAAGTTTTCACATTATTATATTGATTAGAGTAGCCTCCCTTACCTTGTCTTGAAAGAAAAGCCGAATCTTCACTTTAAGGCTCTTTTTCTTTCCTTTTCATTACTTCATCAATAAGTCTTGTTGTTAAATAGTCCATTATAAGTTTCTTTAATTTAATGGACTTTAATGCCACAATGAGGTAATTATAAGACTTAAGATGGCTCATAACTAAGGTCATGAAAATATTTCTCTCTTTTAAAGGCTTGTTAGTAATTGCTAGTTGATTTGAAAGAGCCTTTATCTTATTGATATAAGCTATGAGAACTTTACCTTCTTCCATCTTATAAGTAAAGAATTTCCTCCTTGTAAAGATGATGTTGAATAAGTTCTTGCTTTTATATATATTATAAAGAATCTTTCATATTTTTGCTAGTCTTTTGTAAGAGATAATGTAAGAAAAATTGGCTTCATCCAAATTAGTAGAAATTATGCCAAAAGCCTTCTTTTCACATCTTTTAAAGTTCTTTTTTCCTTAGCATTTGCATGTATGCTTGGAAGCTCTTTACTTTCATTTACAATGTTCGAAAGCTCTAAAGATGCCAATAAAAGTTCTATTTTGACCTTCAAATGGTAGAAATTATCCTTTCTAAACTTCTCAATCATTCTCAAACCTTCACCCTCACTAAAAGCCATGTCTAAAAAGAGCTTTAACAAAAATATCAAAAAAGAGTCTCTATGTGCTTAAAAATACCAAATCAATTTGATACTAGTAGAATTTTAGAATATCTTTTTGTAAAAAATGGAGTAATTTTTTACTCAAAACACTCTCAATTCAAGTTTTCAAGCTTTTAATAAGTATGTGCATTATAAAGAACCTTACTATCAAAATCTCCTACTCATTCAAACCATTTATTTCACAATACATGTAAGGTAAGTGAAAATCCTTTAATAACACAAAAAGACATTATCAAAGTCTTTCTATAAAGTCTTAAACTCACAATCTTAATAGTTAAGAATCCACCAAATAATATTTGAGATCTATGAGATCAAAATGAGAACCTTCTTATGCCATCAAGTATTTAGACATTGCTGACATGAAAGAAAATTAATGATTGTACACCGCACTTTGAAATGACTAGACGAATGTTAACGTGAAGGAGAGTAGAAAATTCAAGTCCGAATTCCAATTTCCTGTATTCCAGACAAAACTGGACACTCATAAATGAAAGTCTGCCTTCTACCATTGATGGATGGTTCATACCACCAGGCGAGTGGTGCATTCCTCCGCCGCATAAGAATGTACTTCTGGGGGTCTAGGGGGAGGGGGGGGATTAAAAAAATGAGAGATCAAACCCCTGCCTAATCCAGTTTCTGACTGGTGTAGCAAAACGGTGTGAAGGTTCATTCGTGCTTCTACAGAAGAGGATTGACAAGTTCAACTGAGGGCCTCGCTAACCATTTCATAGGCAACAAAGCAAGCAGCATTGGCAGGGACGCTGCGGGCCATAGCAGGGCCGAATCCACGGTACAACCCCTTCACACTCTCTGCAGCATACACTTTCCGAAATGCGTCCACGGTGCCTGCGTATTTGGGATGCCGATGATCGTCGACCTGGATGACACTCTTGATAACGTCAGTTGGATGTACGGATATCCAGAATGTGGCTCCTGCCACCCCACCCGCCAGGATTTGCGACCCCTTTCCCAGTTGAGAAGTGTCTTTGCCGCCTGCTAACATTTGCTTCGTCGCTTGGTAAGCTCCAAACATCGCCGCATTCCCAGGCACCTGTAATCGTCCACCCAGAGCAACAAACATTCTGCTGAGTTTATCCCCAGCTATGACAGAATTTGTAACTGAGCCAATCTTCAACTTTAGTAATGCTGATGTAAAATACCTCGCGTAAGAGAGTAGGAATGAGGCCTTTGAACAAGCCAAAGATGCCACCTTCGTTCCGCAGGACCTGCTTGACCACATCCATGGGACCTTTGTAATGGTGCCGGTGCACCGCAACGTTCTCCACACCGGCGGCTGCCAACGCGCTCTGGGCTTGCAATTTGCACTTGACGAGTTCCGTTGGGCATGCGACAAAGGAGACCGCCATGCCTGCGCCTGCTCCAGCTATTATTTGCTGGCCCACGTCCAGATGCTGCCCAGGATGGTCTCGCAACAGGGTCTCCATCTGGCCTCGAGCGCAGAAGAGCACGGCATTGGATACTGCCACAGTAGCGAGGGGAGCACCCATGCCTTTGTACAATCCTTTCGTACCTTCCTCAGCCAGTATTTTCCTCACGGCATCCACAGCACCCGCATACTTTGCAGGGCGACCTGGTGCTGGAGCTCCCTGACTCTGCAGCTTCACCTTGATGGTGTCGAAGGGATGCCCAACCAATAGCTGCGCGGCCCCCGCAAAGGTGCCCGCCGTCAGATCCTTGGCTACTTCACCTCCCATTGCTCTCCCTCCTGACTCTGCTCTGCTCTGGTTTCGCCCTGCAGCCTGGATCTCTAAAAATGAGACCTGGGGATGCACTTTCTGCTACTTGGTCATAGGTGAAGTGCTGCAGCAGCTGCGAAGCTACTTCGGGACTGCAATCCTGTTCAAAACTCTGCTGCTCCTGCCATTGCTGCTATCATCAAGGATACAGTTGCTATGCTGCAAGCACCCATCGCCCATGTTGTACCTCGCATACAAGCTCTGAAGCAAAAGTCTCATATTGTCAGGCTACATCTTTTCACCGCTAATTCTTGCACAGAATCATCGTTATATATTCACCGAGCCTCAAACCAATCAAGATGCACACATCCACTGTCCGACAAGACATTAAGTTGAACTTGATGCGAGGTCGCGAAGCAGCTTGTAGATTTTCGGTCTTTCTGATCGAGACGGTCCCTTGATTAATTTAACAAAAAAAAAAAAAAAAAAAAAAAACTTGGAAATCGTAACCCTAAAATGTAAGGAAGCGATTTGAGTGTCAATCTAAAAGTCCATCACACAATATTCTGTCCTATTAATTGCAGTGATGAACAGCTATGTTGCAACAATGGAGTCAAGATCCTGCAGCATTCCAATGAACCAGACATCCTGCCATGAGATTTCACAATCAAAACCCATCCAGATCCTGTGTAATCCGAGGTGTAATGCAGGCATCCAGACAAGAGCTACATGGAAAATCCTTGAGGTACAACAAGTAACAATGTAAGAGAGACAAAAAGAGAATGGCACACAGACACGGAAGAGTGATGCTTCGAAACATAAAGTAGATTCAGCTCCTCTTCGAACACTTCCGACCCAACCCACCTGAATTCAACACGTCAGTTCGTAAGCGCTATGAGCCAGCTGACGACACAACCATATAGTCATACCCTTATAGAAACACTCTACATCGGAGAATGAAGATGAATAACAAGGGATACTAACAGATCCACCGGCTCGCGATCGACTATGCAGCCGTGGTGATGAGGCAGTCACAGACGATCTGAAGAGGGATGAGAGCACGAGACCAACCAGACACGGAAGCCCAATGCACAAGTCGACGAGCCGGGTCACGGGAAGCAGCGGTGGCACAGAGTGCCGTAAACGAATCTAAGAATATAGTCTACAATGTCTTTCTGTAAGTCAGTCAGTCAGTCAGATCGGATCCCCTGGAAGCGCAGAAAAGGTAGGGAGGAGGGGGACCTGAGAGAGATAAGAAGAAGACGAAGAAGAATGAGTCATCCATCAGCAGCGCCACATAGGAAGCGCTCTCCCTCGCGTCGGAGTCGTCGCCATCGCCACGGTGGAAAGTCGGCAAGGGAGAGAGAGATCGAGGGAGGGAGTGAGGGATGTGAAGTGATGTGATGTGGAATACTTCCTTCACCTAGAGCAGCAGCCCCCACCCCCCCCCCCCACCCCACCATACTTACTGGCTGAATCATTCTCCTTCCCTCATACCACCATTATTCTATAAATTCTTCTTCTTCACGCACATTCCTCCTGTTTTGCCACGTTTTTCTAAGTCAATATAATCAATTGATTCTTCAAGCTTACATTTAGAATCTTCTTCTTTGTCATTTTCATAGAGTATCCAAAACCTTTTTCACCACCTGAAAGGCAGAGCGTCATCCTGTTCACGAAAGAGAAAGAAAAAAGAAATAATAATAAGAGTAATAATATGTACATCAACAACGAGAAACAACGCATGATTGATTTATTACATGCTTACATATTGTGGGGAAGAGAAAGGAAAGGATCGGTGTGGAATGAATATCATCGGAGAAAATATGGGGCATATGACTCAGCATCCACGTCATCCCCAGCTCATCATCCTTCAGATGATATAGGGTGAGCTGTCGATCTTTCTGGTTTGTTGTGGATTCAGTTACTACTTTTCAGGGCCGTCCCATTGAGCAGCAAATGGGCTTCAGGTAAAAGAAAAAAGATTTAATCCTTTCATTTGTTTGCCTATCTTCTTTGGAAATGGCCACAAGGATTGATTGCAGTGCCACCATGAAAGAACGATAGACACCATCTAATATGCTTTCTTTTTACAAGGACTTTCTTTTTAACACTTTCACTCTCAAGATATACTACATGAACATAGTGAAACAATTTATAAATCAACTTTAGCTTTGATTTAAATATCATTTTCCATTTATTTTTCAAAGGTAAGTCTAATTTTTATAGAAAAAAATGTAAAGTGAACACCTATTGAAAAATTTTAAAATATATTTACATCTATATTTATATATATTTACATCTATATTTATATATATATATATATACATATTCAGATAATATCAAAGACCAAGAAAATAAACTATATCGACCAAATTCAATGTGACTTGCATGATTAGATGGATGAACTGAACGGATGAAATAATCTTGCCTTCCACGCTGCAGTATACATTAGGTTTGATTAAAGGGGTCTCCAATAAGACTTATCTTCTCCATTGTGGCTTCTTGCCATCGGACATTTGCTGATTCCTCGATAGATGCAGCCACCAGAGGAATGGAATTAATTGTCCATTGGATAAGACGACCCTCCTCTGTCTTTCCAACATGGATTGTTGCTTGACTACTGTTTTCTAGAGACTTGGTCATTAATGTCGATGCTCTGATCGAGTTTTATCATTTGAAAGAATCAGTCTGGCTCAGACTCTGTGATGCTTGTGTTATTAACAATGATTGCCCTGTTATGGCATCGTCTGCGATGAACTTATTGAACTAGGGTAATTGTCGAGATCGTCGGCAAATAACAAGGTATACTACAATGCAAAAGATGTATTGATGAAGATGGAGCAGAGTGTTGACAAGATGGGAGGTGTTGACACTTGAAAGAACAGTTTGAGCGCTGTGCATGCAAAAATAGGCAATTCAGGGGATAAATATTGCAGATTGTTCCTTCAGCAGATTATCGTTTTAAATTATCGGAGAATCGATTCCCTCTCAGAAATAGTGTAATATCATTATCTTTGTTGAATACGGTAGAGATTGGATACTGGCTAACTTCCACGTCAAGTTCTGAATTAATTCCACATGGAAGTTCTGAATGGTCTTATATTTTCACATAGATGAACAACATAAACCGTGCATCAATCCATCGCAGTTTTAAGAGAAAGACCAAAACATTGAGCACGCAACGCCTGAATTCTGTTACATTTTTACAATTCTTGGAGATGGGGAAAACCCCAGCAGATTTACTGTTACAAGAGAGGGAGTGATCATGACACAAGCAGAATATTCCCTCAAAATCATGATATGAAAAAGTTGTACTAGATATACATATGCACCAAATCTGCATGTTCTAACCAGTTCATATGAGTATTAACAGACTTCCTCCTAAGACATCACTTAGCTACTGCCTTCACGTCTAGAAATCCCTCTAGAGCCTTAACAAGTCGGGGTGGCCACTTCCGAGTATTACGAACCCAATTTCGGTCTCTGTATCTTAAATCCTGAAAACCAATCAATGCGGGTCAGTCACACATTGAATGGATTAAGACATTCATTCTATAAACGAAAAACTTCTCTGCACTATAAAGTAGTTTTATTTCAAATAAAAACAGAACACTTGGAACGAAGGGCAATACTTCAACTCGCCCCCAGTTAGTCTCTGCCTCAGCTGTTAGACCTTGAGCATATAAGGTCACCGCTAGCGCTGCCCTCACATCTGGAAACTGGAATACAAGACAGAAGAATTAACATAAAATCACATGCCGGTTGTGGGCTTAAAGTGGGTTCCATTATCACCCATACTTCTTTTAAATTTTCATTGGTTACAATTACCAGTATGACTTTAACAAATTGCGAGAACTATACCAGCTATATTCTTCATACCCCTGCTACTAGACTCGTTCGTATTCAATAATATTCGGATACCTCATGCGTATTTATTCTAGATATACTTCTTCTTATGTGACTTAAATCAAAAACCAGTTATGTCTCTGAACTTCATGACTCCAAAATGAGCACAACGAAAATCCAGGTCCTTTACAGAAATTAGCATCAACATACCTCAGGGTATTTTCGAAGAAGCGATCGAAACTGCTTGAATGCTTCATTTTCTTTTCCAACTTGATAGAGAATCTAAAAAGTAACAAAAAAAAAAAAAAAAATGAAAAAAAGAAAAAGAAAAAGAAGGTCAATATTTGATGTTGGCTGTTTGAATTGTAGCAAATGCACCCCAATTTGAACTAGAAGAAAAGAAATCGTACCAATGCGTAGTTAGCAGCTGCAAAAGAAAATTCTGGCGCAATTTGAACAGCTCGGCGGTAGTTTGACAAGGCCTCATCCCATAGTCCTGAAGCTGCCTGTGTCATACGTTTTACTTCCCAAACACGAGTTTACTCAAATTCATTTGTCAAATTGAAGAGTATTCCTAAACGCGTAATTAATTCATGTGACGTCCCAACGAACCTGACGAGAAAACTACACAAATGAAAGTGCACATCTCAGTATAACCTAAATCTCGCACCTTCACGTTGCCCAAATTATTCCAAGCAGCCGGATCGTTCGGTTGAGCAAGAAGCACCGCCTCGTAGTCTGCAGCAGCCTCTTCATAGCGTCCAAGGCTTTCCAACGTAACACCTCTGTTCAATACTGGATCTGCTGCATATCTGTCGTCACAAAAATATCTCCACCAACGATGACATAAGATAGCAGACATCTCAGCTGGGGCATCTGCGAGTTTTGAAAGATCGGAATTACATAAAAAGACATACTGCCGGCAATGAAAAGAATCAAAATTGATAGAACTTACGGAGCCAGCTCAATGGATCGATCAAAATCTGCTAGAGCCTCCTCCATCTTTCCCTACACACATATCATGGTTCTATCAAGTTAACACGTGTACCAGAAAATAATTTTGCTCCAACGGAACGCTGATTAGAAAAGGGCGACATTAAAGTCATGGTTGATTATCGGGCATGAAAATACTTACGAGTTGAACGTGTGGATTGACTGTAGCAAATTACATCTATAATTGTTATTACCCACATTTGATTCTGAGCTCCGTAAGGCATTCATACACGAAAGTGAAGCCCACACTATTGGCTAGGTGCATGAACGGCAGAAATTCACTTGTAACCTAAGTCAACATACTAAATACCTGACGACTGCGAGAGTTTCCTCGATTACCCCATGCTCTTGATACAATGTCCGAAACCCATTCGGCATCAAGATTCCCGTACTTGTCAATCACTTCTGTCCACAAACTCTCTTCTTCCTCCACCTGCAAACACATTCAACCACATCGCATCATCAGGATTCCATCCACGCGAAAATACCTCATCTACATATCAATTAATGTTGACAGATTTTTTTAGTGTCAGTGATGGATTGGAATGCCAAATGAGCATGAATGAAGCTGACCGTGGGAGCCGAAAGGGCTTTTTGGAAAAGGGAGGCTGCTTCACGAAGACGCTCATCTCCAGCATCAAATGGGTGTGTAGGAGCCTTGGATAGATCTATCTTTGCAGGAGTTACAGTTCCTGCAATATTTGTTGATGGGAAGGACAGCAGCATAACTGGCATCAAACCTCCTGCCAAGAGGGCTCGCCTCCGACTGCTCTTTCCCTGCACCGGGATCAAGAATCGACAATAAACGCCTCTTAATGCTGAAATACTCATAATGCAAATCTCGTAACAGAACAATTCGAGAAAGCAGACTATGATAGGTCGAGATGGTTGAAAGACATATCAGAGGTTGCGTAAATCCACTGATGTAGTGGAAGCATCTTATAGCTTCGAGTGGTAAGTGTGAGATACATACATGGGCCTCAAACACTGGTCTCATTCCATCACATTTGATGTCATTTAGAGGAGCATTCCTATTTACAATGCCACTTGAATTCGGCTGTTGACAATCTGTCCTAGCCGCTGCTATATCAACATCATCCAAGTACACAGCTGCGCTAGAAAAAGAAGATGCAGATGAGAGGTGGGAAGTTCGTAATCCATGGTCGATGTCTCGAAACGTGTTGATAAGGAATCGGTGGCTGTGGCTGTGGCAATGGCAGGATGCAGCATTGGTGACAGATGCAGGAGAAGCGCGGAATGACAGTAGCATCTGAACAATAATGGCGACAAAATTGGCAATTAACGATAGAAACAGTGAAATTAACGAGCATTGAAGGGAATTGAACTTGAATAGAATGGTGGGATGGAGAGTGGGATAGGTACCGTGGTGGGCATGGGAAGAGACATAATTGCAGAGAGAGAGAAGACGAAACGCGGAGAATCAGAGGGAAGGGGAGGGAGGGAAGGAAGGAAGCTAGAAATGGAGGTAAGAAGGGGAAGGCAACAGCAGGGAAGGAGAAGCGAGGGGAGCCATGAGCATCATGGGTGAAAGGGGACGGAGAGGTGGCGCAGCAGGAGCAGCCTGATCTTCGAGTGAAGAACCTTGGCGGAACCGAACAGAGAAGGGGAATATGTAGCAACCGAAAAGGGGAAGCATCAGCACACTTCTGATGAGGGAATAAGGGGGGAGGGGAGGAATGGGGGGGGGGGGGGGGGAGGGAGAAAGGGAGAAAGGGAGACCCTGTTTATTTGTCTATCTGTCCTATAGATATCCTTTCCTTCTGACGACCGGGCTACCTCTACCCAGTTCTCAACTCTCTCTCTCTCGCCCTCTCGCTCCCTCACCCCCAGCCAGGTGGGTGGTTTCGCATTATTGAGAACCGTATTGGAGCGTGTTACGTGGATAATTCATCCATCCTAGCAGACAAACAGGGTTCCATGAAGTGCACCCTCTATCTCTCTCAATGAAGCTCCCTCCCTCTCTCTCCCATTAGTCAGTCACTCACTCATTCACTCCCAATGGAGGTTGACTTATATTAATAATCCATGAAGCTATCTGTCTATGGTCTTGAGTCAATCATCCTCCTCCTCCTTGCATTAATTGTATGTATGTATTCATTAGGTGTAGATAAATTCTTTTGGAAGTTGCATCTATTTTATGAAATATCCTAATTTGCAATAGTAATTACACAAGTTGTTACAAAACTTTCAGTTAAGAAATAAAAATTTAAAAATAACTATAGAATAAAAACAACTTTAAAGACATAACACTTATATTAGCAAGGTTGCACACAAAGAAAATATGGAGTAAGATGTCTTTCTTTTCCAACACCCAATACTTATAGATTGTGGTTGATGCCTTAAAAGACAACTTCTATTCTTTGACTTTTACACACATGGTTCTAGGATCCTTTGGCATCTCAATAATCATGATGGTATCTTACGCCAAGCATTAATCACTCTTATCTAGTCTTCAAATATTTTCTAAATAATACTTTATCTTCTTGACTTTGATTCTTGGTCCTTAACCTCTTTCTATATCATAGGATGTCTTTTCTATATATTAAGAGTCAATCCTTTGACCATTAGCAACTTACCTAAGATAATATCTTCTACAAGATAACTTATTTTATTTTCATTTTTACTTGCTCATTTTAGATCAAAGACATGAATCTTGAAGAAAGAAATCTTTGATGCATTCTTGTATTACTCAAAAGAATTAGCAAGTCATTCAAAGATGATATAATATTGAATTAGAATGGCTATTGCCAAGACCAAGAAGATTAGATAGACTTGAAACAAGATTAAAGATGAAAAAAGTATTGAGAAGACTGAAGAAGGCTTCATTCTTACTTCTATATATACTCTTAAGTAGGAACTATGTGGCAATATCCTATAAGATCTCTAAAATATATTGACTTTGTAAGACATGTATCTTAACTTGCAAGATAAGTTTTCTATATGTATGCCACATAGCTGGCTTATTTTGCAAGTTATCAACACATAATTAATTTATTGACTAAGTTTCTAACCTATCAATCAACTACAAACACATGTTAAGTCAAAGCAATATCTATAAAGCTTTTAGAAAGCTTCTTTAGAAGATATTATGAAATTAATCTATTTTTATTTACTTTTACGTCTTTCTGTCTAATCATATAGATATTTACTAGAATACATATGTATATTCATGATATTATTCTCCCTTCTAGGAACAAATTCCATAAGGAGCAATCATCATGTATGTTAGGGACATAGTCCTTAGACCTTTCTAGAGACAAGTTTCTAGAACCTTCTAGAAAGAAGTCTCTAGAAACTTCCAGAAGATTCTTTGAATATTCTATCAGAATATTCTTCAAAGATTCTCTAAAGATTCTTTGAAGATTCCCTAAAGATTCCTTTAGAAGGCTCTAGAAGATTCTGAGAATATTCTAGTAGATTCTAGGAAGTTACTTGAGAAGCTTCCTAACTCTTGGGTAGTTGCTCGAGAAGCTTCATAGTTCTTGGGAAGCTTCTTGATGCGCTTCCTTAGAACCATAGGCCAGTAGTATATATAGGAGTCGAGGCTGAAGAGTTCTTCAGTCTCGACAACACATCTCTTGGAGTTCTAGCTCACCTTTCTGGTGTTGTCCTTGTACTCATCTATTTAATCTAGTTCTGCCACTTCTTCTTGAACTTCTTGTTAGATTTCAAGTTTGTATTTTGTGTCCGTGACAGTTTGTCGAGACTGCCTTTATCTTAATATCAGAGCTGAATCCTTCTTGTTTGAGAGCGGATTACCCCTCTTCTTGAAGGTATTCTAGCGCTTTAGGGGTTGCGGATTACCTTCCTCTAAACTGATATTTTCTCAATCACAATATCAGAGCTTAGTTCTTTGAGGCAGAGAGTGGACTACCCCTTTCCTTATAGATACTTGAGCGTTTAAGGATTGCGGATTACCCTCTCTTGGACTGATATTAATTCCTTCTTTTTGTTTAGCATAGCTAGTAAAAAAGACTGTTAACATCGATTTCAAAGCTTTGCCTTCTTGATAGAGTGCGGATTACCCCTCTTCTCGAAAGCATTGAGGCATTTTTAGAGGTTGCGGATTACCCTCCTCTAAAACTGAAATCGTTTAGTGTTTTTTTTCTTTTCTCCGAGTAGGTTTTAGTGACAGGTAGTGCTACAATTTTCTCCAAGAGACTTAGCAATTTCTTCTTCTCTCAAAATTTTAATCCATCTATTCTCTAAATATGGAAGTAGACCAGGTCATAGACAGTGCATCTCCACAAGTAGACAATAGAGTGGCAACTCTTGCAGATCTTCAAGCTCTTATGAATAGTGTACGAAAGGAGATTGCATTTCTTCGCAATCCAAGTAAAGAACCTCAAATTGATCTAGTGACCGAAGAAGCTAGACGCAAAATTCATAGCCTACAACAAGAGATTATTCGACTGAGAGAAGCAAGACATGTGTCACATACGACCCCTATGGATACTTCAAGGATTAGTACGAAAGAACCAAAAGCGAGTATGCCAGACAAGTTTGATGGAACAAGAGCCAACTTCCGAGGTTTTGTGCAACAAGTACGGCTTTACCTACGCCTATACCCTTCTCGTTATCCGAATGGATTTACCCAGGTTGCTTTCATAAGTACTCTTCTATCAGGAAATGCTTGCTCTTGGTTTGCTCCACTATTGAAGAAGGATTCTCCAATATTGCATGACCTAGAGGCTTTCATAGAGAGACTTACTGCTACGTTTGGAGATAGCGATCGAGAAAGAGTGGCTGAAAGAAAGATACAAAATCTGCGACAAGGATCACGTTCTGTTGCAATCTATGCTGCAGAATTTCAACAGCTTACATGTGATCTTGATTGGAATGATAAGGCGTTCATGACACGATTTCGATATGGACTGAGAGATGATGTCGAGAACTTATTGATCACCATGCCTAAGGCGGATACTTTAGAAGAACTTATATCTCAGGCAATTATTTGTGACAACCGCCTCTTTGAATTACGACAAGAAAGACGATCAGGCTAGAGAAATGATGGAGCATTTGCTACATTTTCAAAAGGTCCAGAGAATCACTCCACAGATCCTGAACCCATGCAAATTGATGTGGTACGTTTCAAACCCCTCACAGCTGAGGAAAGGAAGCGACGGTTTGAACAAAACTTGTGTTTATATTGCGGAGAAGCGGGCCATAAAGCTGTAGATTATCGAAAGAAACAGAAGCCTCAAACAACAAGACTCAGGAGTACAAGCATGCAGGAAAACAAGGACGCCCAGCCACAATAGGGACCGTACGGCTGGACATCTCAACATCCAAAATTAATCAAGGTCCCTTTCTCTCAGCTCAACCTTCAGATTGTTTTATGGTACCTTTACATCTGGGTATTCAAGAACTATAAGTCGATGCTTTATTAGACTCGGGTGCATCCGCTTGCTTTATAGATGAAGAGTTTGCCAAGCTTCACAATATTTCTCTTGTAAAGAAACTTAAGCCTGTCCATGTAGAAGTCATAGACGGACGACCATTGTCTTCGGGCAATGTTATCCATGAAACTAAACCATTGAAGGTACGTCTTGAAAACCATGAGAGCAATATTGTGTTTAATGTTATCAAGACCCCTTCATGTCCTATCATTTTAGCACTATCTTGGCTTGATAGATATAATCCATTGATAGATTGGAAGTTGCGGAAAGTGACATTTCCAACAAACTCCTTGAAGGTGGAATCTGCCAAGACAATGTCTAGAAACAAATCCTTGTTTATAGGTGCAAGGGCTTTCATGAAGGAAGCTAAGCAAAATACACCTCTTGTCATCTTCGCAACTTCGACTCGAGAAGATGCAACTCCGACTTTGGTTATTCCAAAGCAGTATGAAGAATTCAAAGATGTCTTTGAAAAGAAGAATGCTGATATGCTGCCAGAGCATCGACCCTATGACTGTGCCATTGAATTGCAAGAAGGAGCACAACCACCTTTTGGACCAATCTACAATTTGTCGCAGACGGAGTTGACTGAGTTACGGAAGTACATTGACGAGAATCTAGCCAAGAACTTCATCCATCATTCGAAGTCGCCAGCTCGGGCACCAATCTTATTTGTGAAGAAGAAGGATGGCTCACTACGGATGTGCGTGGACTATCGAGGTCTCAACAAGGTGACAAAAAAGAATCGCTACCCACTGCCTTTGATCTCTGGTCTTCTAGAACAACTTCGGCGTGCAAGGATCTTTACAAAGATTGACCTAAGGGGAGCTTACAACCTTGTGCGAATTAAAGAAGGAGATGAATGGAAGACAGCGTTCCGAACAAGGTATGGCCATTTTGAATACAATGTCATGCCATTTGGTCTTACTAATGCTCCAGCGGTCTTTCAATACATGATGAATGACATCTTTCGAGAGCATCTAGACGATTTTGTTGTCATCTATCTAAATGATATTTTGATATTTTCTAAGAACGAGGAAGAACATGAGAAGCATATTCGTCTGGTACTCAAAAAACTACGGGAGCGAGGACTCTATGCCAAATTGGAGAAGTGCTTATTTCACCAAACTGAGATGGAGTTTTTGGAATTCATCGCGATTACGGAAGGCTTGAAGATGGATCCAAAGAAGGTGGAAGCAATCATGTCTTGGGAAGTTCCGAAGACGGTTAGGGACGTATAATGT